TCCACACATTTTGTAGAATCAATTAGGAGTATGAAGCTAGGTATACTAAGATACAAAAAAGTACTGTTCATTTTTGTGTTAAGGTCTTCAACCATCTACCTAATAGTTTGAAAATAAAGCCATCCACGAGATTCAAAAGCTATCTCAAACAACATCTTTTAGAACGAAACTTGTATTCGATAAATGATTTTTTTTCTGGAACCATTACAGTAGATTAAATCAGACTGTTTGAATATTATTTGACGTTTTCTGTGCATTTTTGTAAAGATGGAAATAAAGCTTATTATTATTATTATTATTATTTTAGATATTTTATTAAGACAATGATTAATTTTTGATATCTGATCCTCTGGCATCCAGGATGTTATATTTTTTTTTAAATTTGCATTATTTTTGTTTCTTTATCTCCACCTTCTGTTTTATCAATAAGTTATTGAAATGTACGACGAAGATAACGTACCTTAAAATTTGCAATAACTCCCTGGTCCTTTAGCTGAATTAACGACGTAGTGTTGGAACGCAAGTGTTTAAGTTCGACAGGTTGATGGGATGACTTGGACTTACAGTAGTAATACAGCTTTTGGTTCAAAATTATTTACTTACACAGTAACGTTTTATAGATGGACAAAAATGTGTGGTAAACCAATTTTGAATGGAACCAATCTTGTGATCCAAGATTTCCCAAATGTATACGAATCAATGAAATGCTGCAATAATTTGAATCCGGCTATATTTTAAGCATTTTTAAGGTTTTCAACAAACCGCGTTATACCAAATCAACGTTAATCGAGGTAGCGTTAAACAAGGTCTTACTGTATAGTGTTAATTTTAGTGTAAAACTAGAACTAACACTATACCAAGAACTAGAATCATTCGGGTTTAGCCGTCTTTAGAGACGTGCGGCTAATTCTAGTTTTAGGTATAGTGTTAGTTCTACTTAGTAAGAGTGTTAGTGTAAAACTAGAATTTTACGTTAACATTATGATTAATTTAACATTAATCAGCGTTAATAAACGCTTTTTTTGTGTGTAAGGTATCATTACTTGGAAAGATTCGTTTGGATTATGTAAATGCTTTGGAAGAAAAAGGTCACAAAATTCGTAAACAAGGAATGCATATGTTGTGGGTTTACGACTTTCCTCTTTTCGAAGAAGGTGAAACAGAAAATAGTTTGAATTGCGTTCATCACCCCTTTACAGCGCCACATCCAGAAGATATTGATTTACTGCAAACTAATCCATTAGAAGTAACCATAAAAAAATCTTGTTTTTATTTTCAAATTCATTTTTAAACGATTTTTTTTAAATTTTTTAGGTTAGGTCACTTGCATATGATTTGGTATTAAATGGTAACGAAATTGGTGGTGGATCAATTCGCATCCATAACTCACAACTCCAACAAGATATCTTTACCATGCTAAATATCAACCCAGATTCATTAAAGCATATTATTGAGATGTTGGGATCTGGGTGTCCACCTCATGGTGGAATCGCCCTCGGTTTGGATCGATTTTTAGCCACTATTTTAAACGTAACCAGTATTCGTGATGTTATTGCCTTTCCAAAGACTTTTGAGGGGCGCGATCCTTTATCGGGGGCTCCATCTTCTATCAGTGATGAGGATAAACGTATTTATCACATTAAAAGTATAGATAATTAAAAAATAATAATTAGGAACCAATTTAATAAGTGCACTTTTAAAATGTCATTCGTACAAATATTGTGAGGATTTTTTTAAGATTAGACTCAAAATATAAACAAATAAGATTATAAAAGATGTGAAGTTTATTTTTAAAATTGGGAGGCTTTTGGCAGTTATTTAACAGCAAATTCGGAGTTGTCTGATTGAAAAGCACATGAAGTAATAATTAAAAGTAATAATTATTCCTAACTACAAAGTACATAATACGGATAACTCAATTTTGACATTAAATATTCTGTGTGTTATTCATCTTATCGTATTATTAACTAAATTAATATTAAAACACAAAAAAATATTAATTTATAACATTACCAATAATTATATATGTATACAATAATAATTGTAATTATTAAATCAAACTTTTTTTTAAATTATCCTATCCTAAACATATTTATACCATAAAATCTCTTACAAAATATATTCTTATTCTTAATTCAGTTCAACAACTAAAAATCATCAAAATGCTTTTCTTTCAGACCCATAACATTTTGAAAGAATTATATTTAAGTTTCATCTACAGTAGGCAGCCAAAACGCCATGTTCGTGCATGCAGATGCTAACATCATATATTTTGGATTAAATTGAACGCATTGTACAGGACCTGGATGATCGGCATTTAATACACAAACTTTGTATCCTGTATCAGCGTTCCAAACGTGTATTCGACCATCTGTTGATCCACTAAAAATGAACTGAGAGTCTGGACTGAAGGATGCTTCAACTGGAATTCCTTTATTGTTCAAATGTCCTGTAAAAGTTTGTAGTGGGGTTCCATGGAAAGCATCTATTAGACGAATAATTGAGCCATTTGTGCTGATTAATATCGTTTTTCCATCTCTAGAAAATTTTAAACCCGTCCAATCACATTCCTTTTCTTGGGTTAATTTGAAAGTAACGAAAGGTCCCTAAAAAAAAATTATTATTTTAATTAATTATATTTTTAATATTATCGTTATTGTACCTTATCGAACGACCTTAAATCATATAATTTAACGCATTCGGAATTTACACCGGCAGCAAAAATTAACCCCTCAGGATCATAAGCAGCAACAGGTTTTCCTGCTAAATGCATTAAACCTTGACAATTCGGTGATCGTAAATCCCATAACCTTAATGTTTTATCCAATGAACCTGATAAAAAGGTATCTTCAACAGGTGATAAACATAAGGAAGTAACCTTTTTTGTATGTCCAGGAAAGTATCTGATGTATTTATTATCATGTAAAGAAAGGTATCGAATTGTATCATCAACCTTCGTTGAACTGTGTATTGCTGTGTTTTTGGCATGGGTGAAATGTATGAGGTCAACCCCGTACTTTTTACTATTAACTGTACGGACTTGTGTGCCTTTTTCGCAATCGTAAATAACAATTTGGTCATCTTCACTACAAGATATCAATGTTTCGCCGTTTGGGGAAAAATCTATGCTGTTTATTTTGTCGGTGTTCTCACGGAACACCTTCGCCACTCGGAAACTCCTTACGACGTTCTCCACCAGTTTCATCTTCATCTCTTTATTGAAATTCGTTTAAAAGTCCAGTATTTATATTTTGTCACAACACGCTTTTATACACAAACAACAAATATGGCCGACAATTGGTGGAATATGTGCGAATTTTAAACACAATTAAGGAACGCTTTTTTACTTAATTTGTTATGGTTAATTTCTTGCCATTAATAAATACCATTAAGAAATACAATTTCAACAATATATTTATTATATAGCCAATTTTCAACAATTATTTGTAACTAACTTCAAAGCATACATTTAAAATATTTATTACATTTTACTTTTAAATCATTAAATTCGCATAATCTTTTATGTTTAATTGAAAAAACTGTTTAATAATTAATATTTCAAACCTCAATTATGCTAAAATATGATTTTTTTAATTCAAAAACAATGTGAATGAAACTTAACCTAAATTAATAAATCATAACCTAAAATATCGTAAAAATGTCCCAAAATGAAAATGAATCAATACAAAAAGGCGAAGATAAAGCATTTAGAGTCAAAGGTTAAAAAAATAAGCATTCACTTTTATAATTAATTAAATAATAACAATTATTTTTGTTGTAGCGGCGATTTTTTTAGCAACCGTGAGTGGAGTTTCTGCTTTTGTAGGTTTTGGAGCGACTTTAGCGGCAGCTAGAAAACGAGATCCCAAATATTTCAATAAAGGAGTTGTTGCGACTATAGAATTGCAAGAAACTGGGGCTAATTTAGCATTAAGAGCTTTAGGTTGGGGGACATTGTATGCATTTACCGGTTGTGGATTGTTATGTTATGCAATTTGGAAAATATCCGGTGCAAAAGATGTATTTAAAATAATAAATTTATTACGTTTATTAAGTAATCATTTTTAATAATTTTTAGATGAAAGATTTTCGACATAAAGTTGGTTCCGCTCTTCCAACAATCCCAAAAAATAATCCTCCTCAAGGTAGAACTGAATTTAGTGGATTAAATGATTTAATGGAATATTTATCAACAAGGAAGTAGTAATAAATGAAAATAATGTTAGTAAAATTAGAATATATCTTTTATTTATACGAATTAGCTTTGTGTTTTGGTAAAAATTGAAATCCTTCCGGAACTTTCCCAAGTAACATTTCACTGATTTTAATCCAATCAGAAGCGGAAGGTGACACCATCAAAGTTTCTAAATCATCTCTTCCCTTAAAATATGGTGGCCTCTCATTAATTTTTTGAGGAGGACATTCCAACAATCCAGTGGGAATATAACGATACAAAAATGATAACCATTCAAGTAAAAATCTCCTCGTTGTTTCAACGCCTTTATTATCTGAACCCCAATGTTCCAATCCATAATTTACGTATTTTTTAATAACTTCAAATCGCTCTGAACTAGAAATATCAAAAAGTTTTTGTTCCTTAATTTCTTGGAAAATCCACGGTTTTATTAAAGCACCACGTCCTATCATGACAGCGGATATACTGGGGCTCGTTATGAATGCGTTTTTGTAATCTTTGTAACACAAAATATCACCATTTCCAATTATTGGAAACTCTGGTGAAGATTTAGCACATTCCTCTATGTAATTCCAATCGGATTGTTTTGTGTAACGTTGTTCTTTGGTTCGTCCATGAATTGTTACTGCAGCTGCACCCCAACTTTGAAATTTAGGAACCTAAAAATTTAAAATTATGGTTACCTAACCTAAAATGTTACATAACCTCAAAATTATTTTACTTACTAAATTATGAGCTATATTTTCACTATTATAAATTCCCATTCGAGTTTTAACTGTAACAGGAATTGTTAAAACATCACATAAGCTTCTAATACATGTTTCTAAAACTTTGGGTCTACGTAATAATCCACAACCAGCACCTTCTCTGTAAACCAAGTCAATCGGACAACCTAAATTAACATCAATATAGTCGACTTCGATTTCTTTTTCTAATAATTGGCCACATTTTGCGAATAAATATGGATTATTGGCGCATAATTGAACCCCAAAAATATTTTCGCTTTGATGTCGCTTAACCAACGCCCATTCTTGAGGAGCTCCTTGTAAAAGAGCCGAACACATAGCCATTTCTCCGCAAGTAACATCAGCACCATATTCTTTACAGATACGTCTAAACGGAAGATTTCCCACTGTTGTTAATGGGCTAAGAACCAATTTATTTTTAAAATCAATTTTTTTCTTTTCTCGTTTAAGAAGGGCAATGATGTCTTCGTCGGTAACTGCGCCTAACGTTTGAACTTTTTGATCGTTTCTTTCATTACTTTCTTGACGATATTTATTGTTGTTATACTCAACAATTGATTGAGCTATCTCGAAATTGTAGGTTCTTTTACGCAATGCTTGTTGAACGTCATTTTTAAGTTGATTTATTGTTTTCAATCCAGTTTCTTGCCATTCTAACTTTTTAGGAGTATTAATTATATTTCTTCCATTAATTATGTGTTGTTTCCCAAATCTACAGCCTAAACCTCGGCTACATTCACCTTGGATTTCAAAGTTATAACATGTTTCATCTAAAAAATCTACATAAAATAACTTAAACTAAAAAATTTTTAATTTTCGAACTTATATCTTGTGGTTTTTTCTCCAAGTATTCATCAATATCATGTAAGGTCGGACAATTTTTTCTTGGGCATGCAGGAATATTTTCTCCGTCAAGAAGATTCATAAGTGTGCTACATAATTCTAAAGATTTATCGCAACGAAACGCAGGCCTTGATTTATTTTGCCCTTTTAATTTCTTTTTTTCATATTTCGATAATTTTTTACGCTTTGCACTGGGTTCTTCCGCTTCATTATTAGATGTAGGGATTGATACACATTCTTCTGCAACTTCTTTGGGATGTTCCCGTATCACAAATCTTCAAGTTACAAAACAGATAAATGCAGAAATCTTTGTTAACTTTTTTTACTTACTCTGGTTTTATTTTACAAACACCTCCACTTGACATGATCTTAAAATATAAATCGCTTCAAATACTATTTTGATTTTAAGGTAAATACATAACCTCAAAAAAATTAAATTGACATTAAAACACGCGAGTTTGATTTTAAAGGTTATGCCATCTATTAGTCAAAAATGGTACTTTAAAATATGTCAAATTAAATTTAAATTTGTCATTAATTAATTTTGAGTTTTGGGTAGAATTCAAACTGTTTTGTGGCTTAAAAATGATATATAACGTTTTAACAAAATTTCGGTTGAATTGTTAAAACAAAATCATTTCGTTTAATTTATATTGGTATTATCTTATTTTAATGACGTTTGAGTCAAAAAGTAAACGTCAAAATTAAGTAGAATTTTTGATATTTTTAAACGCTAATTTAAAGTAGTCGGAAAGTTTTCAAACATTTCCATGAAGGCGATCAAATAAGCGATCGGTTAGCATAAACAAACTTCTTTTCAAAATAAATAAAGGCGACTATTTTTAATCGAGCAGCGTTGATGTTCAGTTCTCGTTCATTGCATGAAACGCTTCTTACAGTGGATTTCTTGAAAAATCGTTTCTTCATAATATTTTTTTTGTAAAGAAGAAATAGTCTCAGGTATAGTTTCCTGTGTATTAAATCCCAAGGATACCAACTCTCATTGGTTGCTTCGGGCACTAAAACCAGTCTCTGAGCAGTTCTCAACAAGAGTCTTTCTCAGTCCAACTCAAGTCTTAAATAATAAAACGCGAAAAGAAAATTCCTCTCGTGCTTCAGTGCGTTGGCGTTAATTTATTCGATTAAAAAATCGTTCGTCGTGTGTATTCTTCACTTAAAAGTTTGTGCTAGAATAAAAAGGGCATTTTTAAAAAAAATTACAAAGAAAAATGTTTAAAATACTCTTAAACGCTATATTTTTATTTGGTTACGTCTCTTCATACGTTCCCGCTGGAATTTACATCGATAACGGTTACGATCAGACATCGATTGATCGTGCATTAACTAAACAAGAAAAACGCGACATGGAATTGGAAATTTTACACATGCTCGGTTTACCAAATCGACCAAGACGCGGTGCTAATAATACGCCGTTAACAAAATCCGCGTCAAAATTCATGATGGACGTTTATAAGAATATTTTGGATAAAGAAAACTACGAGGATCATCATGAACGACGTGAACGAAGCGTCGATTTGAATTTGAGCGGAGAAGAGGAGAAAGCGATTGATGAAAGCGATGTGATTATGACTTTTGAAAATAGCAGTAAGTATAAATAACATTGAAAGGATAAAGCGAAGATTCTAGCGAAACGTTGATTTAACTTCGTAGAATTTATTAACTGATATAAAGTAAATAACAATTTAAATGAAAGAGAATGGGTCAAAGATCAATGGATACAATCGAAGTTATTGTTAAATCATTAAGATATGATCAAAATTTCCATCAAAGTTATTTTTTTAACATAATTAAGTAAAATTAGTAATTTAAACGTCATTACACCTGTCAAATTTGATGTTAGGTGTCAAATTTAGTCCCAAAAAAAGATGGTGCCATCTATTATTTTTTAATTTAATTTCTATCCTTAACACATTTAACGCCAAATTTATTGTTTTTAGATCGTAGAATATCAGGGGTTCGTCATGAGAGAGGAAAACGTCTTTGGTTTAATGTGTCAACGGTTCCTCTCGATAACACAATACTTGGGGCGGAATTGAGAATATTTCAAACACCAAATTTCAACGCAAACATAACCAATTCAGAAACGATTTACGCAGTAACTGCTTATCAATTGGCGAAATCATCAGAAGGGTAATAAAAAAATTTTGTATTGAATTTTTTTCATCGTTTATTTTTTATATAGGGAACGAGAATTGGAATTTGTGGGCACAGTAAATGTAACAGCAGGTTATTCAGGTTGGGTGGCTATAAACGTTACTCAGTCTTTGTCTACCTGGGTGGCGCTACCACAATCAAATAAAGGATTTTACCTGTCTGTTCATCCCCATGATAAACCAGGTAAAAAATTTAAAAAAAGTTTAACCCAAAAGAAAGAAATTTTTGTTTATTTCTTATTTTAGGTCATGATGTGCGTCCTGAAGATATAGGATTAACAATTTCAAAAGCTGAGGAAGAATCCCAACCTTTTATGGTCGCCTTCTTTAAATCGAGTAAACCGATTAATGTAAGACCAACCAGATCAATTAAAAAAGTTGATACAATTGAGTATCGCTCTATAATGAAAAGAGCAGCTCAAAATTTCGGTAATAAATAATAACAGCTTAATAAAATAAGTTTATCAAAAACCATCCTTTGTTTTTAGATACAACAAGCGATGGGAGAAATTGTAAAATTCGTACTTTATACGTCAGCTTTGAAACATTAAAATGGAAAGATTGGATTATTGCTCCTGTGGGTTATGCCGCACATTATTGTGATGGAGATTGCAAATTTCCTTTAAATTCTCATATGAATGCAACGAATCACGCGATCGTTCAAACGTTGGCCCATTTAACAAATCCTGTAAAATATCCAAAACCGTGTTGCGCTCCTACGAAACTCACCCCAATATCTGTACTTTATTACACAGATCTCACGAATGTTACACTTAAACGATACAAGAATATGGTTGTTAAAAGCTGCGGTTGTCATTAATTTGGATTTTTTTTGTATTGTATCTAATTTGTAATTGACTACTTAATATTTAAGTTTTATGTATATACTAATTTTTTTAGATGTATAATAAAGAATAAAATAATTTTGAGATTGTTTATTTATACAGTGAATGTCATTTAAGATGCAATATACAAAAATATATTTCCATAGAAATCTACTTACTTTGTCCCACATAAAATGCAACTGTCTTCAGACGTATGGCTAAACCCGATTGCTTCTAGTTCTAGGTCTAGTGTTAGTGCAAAACTTTAGAACTAACACAAGACCTAGAATTAGAATCATTCGGGTTTAGCCGTCTTGAGAGACTTTCCCGGTAATTTAATTTTAAAATTGAGTTTGATGTTAAATTATGGGAATCTGTATTACCGATACCGATTAGTTTTTAATAATCAAACGATTATAAATAACCTTTAATTATAAGATAAACCTTTAACTTCTTTAAATAAAAATTAAAAGAAAACATTTTTTTTAATAATTAACATTTAAATGCTTTTTGTTTAAAATTAAATCACAGGGAATTTTGTTTTTAATCAAAGTTGACACCAAATTACTTGACAACTTTGCCGATAGGTGCGCTATCGGTTTTTTTTTTCACAATGACAACCCGAACTTGTCAAAAAAATAGGCGATTTTTAGCCGTAAACACACGTTCATCTCGCCGATTTAACCGTTATGTTTAATCAGGAAACTGTCTCGCGATTAATTTTTAGATGTAGTGTACGTTAAAGCGAAAAAAAAATAAGTCCCAATAATCGTATATTGCATGTGTGTGAGTGTCTATTCGGAGAGGTATCTGAAGTTGCGTAGGTTGGGCTATGACATTGGAAACTGTAGGCAGGTTCGTTTTCTGCACGGTTTTCTGTGAATGTGGAGTGCTATTGCGAAGATTTTCAAGAAAGGAAATAACGAGCAAAGTGGCGAAACGAAATTCGTAGAAGAAATGGACCGACCGGAGGTGAAACGGTCCGATGAAATGCCTGATACTTATGATACCACTCAGGTAAGAAGTAAGAAATTAAATATTTTTAAGTAAACATATCAGCAGAACTATATTTAAGTTGTAAAATAAGAATCAGCTGACCCAAAATTATCTCATTCCTAACCCTATTTAATTCGATATATTCGTCCTTCACAAAAATTCATTCTAAATGTATCTGTGAGTCATTCTCTAAGGTCCCAAAGCTATTTATTGTGTTTCTCTTCCCGTTATCTTCTTATCGCAACTCAAAAACTAACAGTCTTAGGTTTTTAAGGCACCGGTCTCACACTTGGCGTAAATAATCGATATATGTGATGTAATATTTATTAAAAGGGATCGTCGTTTTTAAGACGAATAGAAATTAATTGATCCCGGACAAAATTCTATGTTAATTTTTATGCAGAGATCGTATAAATAGCACGTGGGTCGTATCACACACGAGGTGTTTCAAGTTTCGTTGTTCAAAGTTACATAGAAAGTTTAGTTATTGTTTTTTATTGAAAATAAAAATGAATCAAATACATAAATGTATTTTTTTATTATATTAATCTTGATGTATAACACAATAAATTATCGTGATCGGTTTAAATTGTTTATTAAAAATTCTTTAATCGTTTTTTTTAAAAATGGTGAAAATTTAAAATTATTCTTTTTCTCCCCACCCAAATACACTTGATTCAAGCTCAGAATTCAAGTAAGAAAATGTGTATACCTCTCGATTCGCGTTCTACAGTCGATAAATGTCTTGGTTACCGAATGGAGGTGTAATGGAACTAAGTAAAAATGTTATTGTATCAACTGTACTAAGACGACAACCATGAATTTCCTTTTTGGTGTTAAAAATTAATAACTTGCTTATAAAATGGTGTTGAGTGTGGCAACTGTGAGTTCTTTGACCGGGTGTTCTGCCCAATTCGATAACAATAAATCGGAACTTTGCGTCTCTTTGATCACGTACACGGTGAGTCCGATTTTAGAATTTCTAATAAGATTCGGTTTTTGAATTAATGAATAAATAGAGTACGGTTAAATTTAACGAAAAGAAAAATGATTTTTTTAAAATCCCGTTAGCTTGGGCTTTAGGCAGAACTATTTTGCGGTTAATAGCTAGGAAATCGTGGATAATAACGGCTGTGTTCACACCGTACACTCTTACGCTATAATAATTAACAATAGGTTGTTATAATTAAGTTTTCCTCTTTAGTTTGAGAAGTTTATTGCTGGTAAAAATTACTTTCTTTCTCATCGCAGTGCTTTCTATTAATTCGCATTGAAGTTGTTTTTCAGAATTTCATGTTTTAAAATGACAGTTATGTATGTAAAAAAAATTTGACATCACAGGTTAGAAATGTCACTTGTCATGTTACAAATATCATCTTACAATTTTTAACGACTAAAATTATATGAAGGTATTTAAAACATCTACTTATTGCTTTAATGAATCAAAGCAAATTGACGTCATAAATTTCGATGTTTCAAAAATTACATTTAAATCACTGACTCAGATTGACATCTCGCGACTTAATGCGACCGATGACGTCATCAACCCATTGCGTTAAATCTTCGTTGGTGATATAAGAAAATTTTGTACAATTTTCTTGATGAAGCAAGAGAAGGTAAAAAAATTAGTGCTACTAAAATGAATGATAGTTTAATAAAAGTTACGAATCTACTTAGCAAGTATATTCAAAATGTTTGACTAAAAATAATAGTTTCATAAGTTTGTCATAACTAAATTTAACAGTACAATTTAATGTTTGAAGAAACATATTATTACTATTGTCTACGCTTATCTTATTTGTCATTGATGATCTCACTTCGTTTGCTTATTGACATGGTCGCCATAGAAAGTGCAGCTTCTACTACATACATATAAAGAAATATACTATTCAGCGCACAAGATTGTGAAAACAGTAGATGCAACAAACAAGTAGTTTAAGTAAATTCTTATTTTGCGCTTATACGGTATATTGTCATAAAACCGATGATAGTCTTGATTAAAGACAAATTTTAGGCGACTTAGAGGTCGTAAAGATGATGAGATGAATGTAGCAGAAGAAGATAAGGTAACTATGACCATTCATTACTAAATTGTCTCGTCGAATTGGCGAGAAAAAGTTTAGTTGTTTGAAGCTTTTAAAAAAAATGTGTTTTATAGAAAATGGTTATACACAATTCAACTTTTGTTGAGTATGACCACCATAGCAAAGTTGAAAAGTATGTATTTTAACCGTGCTTATAAAAAATTTATAAATCTTTGTAAAAATCTTTGTTAAAAATCTTTGATGTTGAGGGAATCCTTTGATTCTCATCAGAAAATGTGAAATTATTATTGAAAATTTTTCTGTGCTTAAGATCCCTTCTGGCTCATTCCAGGATACGCTCTCCAAAGTACTCTTTTTCAAATACTAAATTGGGCCGATCGGATCGTGTTCAGTCCTGCATGAACAACATCTTTTTATAATCTGGAATAATCTTGACATATCGTTTCGCAGTTATCGTGCCTTCAATGAATTTCGCACCGATTATTTCGCGACATGACATGGCACAGTAAACAGTTGCCCATTTGCTGTGAGGGACTTTTTGATGTCGAAGTAGCGATTTTCTGACTCCCAACGCAAAGTCTACTTATTCTATTAGTCTAGCGTTAGTTCTAGTTTTAATTGTTATTCAGCGTTAGATTTTGGTATATTTTTATTGAACGAAAACTAGAACTAACACTAGACGTAGAACCAGAAATATTCAGAACTGAAACTCAGTTATCATAAGGACGTTTCCTTTTCCTACCAAATCTTCTCCTTTATAAAACTATCCAATGCCTCTACTATTAAGTTATGTTACATTTTATGTGGGACAGTGCAAGTGCATATTAGTTTCGTAACTTACGAAAATTATTAGTTTTTCATGTATTAGCGATAATTTGTATTATTTTTATTAAACAATTTCGTTCTTTGTATTAAAATGAATAACCAAAATGTAAATATAATTCTAATTCTAGAGTTATAAAAATAGTTTGAGATTTTTGGCTCTTTATAAACGTAAAATTCTATGAGCGTTGGTAAGGATGTAATAATTTAAGTCCCTCTTAATTCTTAAGAGTTTTGAAAAGAAAGACACGAAACTGGAGTTTGTGGAATTTAAAGGACGCTCTCGATAAATCGTTCAAGTTTGAACAAAAATAAGTTAATTGTGATTTATTTTTAAAAGAATTTTTCGTACGTAAATGAAGTTTTCTTGAAACAAATTGAAGAAAAAGATTTTCTTAAATCATTCCATTAAAAAAAAAAGGATTGTCAGTTTCCAGTTTTGGCCCATTCTGTAGCTTTCACACTTTCCGTTTACTCTCCGTAAACATTCTTGAAATTCCGAGGCGTTTCCAGTTTTGCACGCGTCGTTTCAGTCAATAAATAAACATGATCGAAAACGACGTCGTTTCCCCATCAATTTCAAATCGAATCGAATGTACCGGAAATAGGTCAACAAATTGAGCACTCCAAAAACATCTTTCCTCCAAATTCTCTCCATACTTAAAGAAACGAATGTTCTTTCATTCCTTTTTCATATTGCAATTCTTTTCTTTGACACAATACAAATGCACGTCATCACAATGGCACGTTAATTCAAATGAGAAAATTTTCGGGTCATCACCTTGAAGGTTCTCGCTGTTTATGGTCGCGACATCTGGTCAATTCTTAATAAAAAAAACTGTAATCGCGCCCACTTTAACTGACGTTTTATGTTTTGTATCATTTTCTTTTTGATTATAACTTGAAGTTAAATATTATTTACTCAACTTGGACAATAAATAGTTGTTGTATCCACAACAGCTATTAAAACTTTCGAAGATACTCGAGAAGATGAATTATTGATTTCTCGCCTCTGGTTATAACAGGTGGTAATTTGAAATTTCTAGGTTATGTAAGCCTTAAGATCTCTACTAAACAAGAATAAAGAGCGGATTGTTGAATGCGTAAGGGGGCGTACTTATTACCTATTGTTGGATATTATTTCTCTTTGCTTATTTTTGTGTTTGTCATGATGTTTTGTTCGGAATTTTTTAATTTTTAGTTACGAATTGGAAGCAATACGTTTTTTGAAAAATGGAAATTTTGTTGACCTCTTCGCAAAACTCTTCTCGTACGCTAAACATTCCCGTAGTTATCTCTATAAATACATTGCCAGTCTACACTTCCTGATCGTTAGAAGTTTAACCGCTGCAAAGTTCTTGGAGTTTATTTATTCCAATGAGCTCACCACGTTGGATGGCTTTAATGTAAAAAAGTGCAAATTAACCGGCCGGACGAGTTCTTTAAAGATTTGCAATACGATAGCTATGGTTGCGGTTTAGAAAATCAATTCCTTCGGCGATTAAATAAATCATTTATGTTTATTAATCGATACTAATTAATTTATTAATAAAGTACAATAATATGGATTTAATTATTTTTAGGCGAAACAACGAGCTGCGATAAAATGGTTACTATCCAAAGCGTTTAACAACAAAGTACCCGAGAATCTTAGCGAACCTTTTTACAGAGATTACGAGGTAAGATTTAAAACAAAAAGGAAAAATCCTTGGTTCAAGATTCCTTTTTTAACCGGTAAATTATCGTGTTTCTTTTGTAGAATCAAGAACATTTAAAACCTCATATAGTTGGAGCTTTAGCGAGTGCGGAAATGTACTGTATGGCATTGGGTAATATTTATTCGGATCCAAATTACCACAACCTCAATCACTGGTCAATTTTGCAAACGTTAGCTAGGAAAGGTGTTTATGTTTCCGAACCGAATAATTCAGCGCTTACAGAAACCACTTTAATTCAAACTAATCCACTTAGACTGGTAAACATGTTTCTTTTAATTAATACAGTAATTATATTTTTTTTATTTAGAACGCACACATGGCTGTAATAGAATCAATAATGACCTTATACGCGAAAGAGGTGATCACTTCGGATAGAGTTTTGGCGGCAATACAACGTTTTAGTCACAGCGGAAAATATCCCCAAGTTAAAACACCGGACACGTATGAACAAGGCCTTTTGATGTGGGTTTCGCATACATGCGATGCTTTACAACAAAAAATACAACAAGATTTGAATGTTGGTGTTACGAACGGTGGAGAGGTAAATAAATTAATTTCGTCTAATCAATTATTTTTAAACATTATTTTATTTTTAGGGAGATAGATTAAGACCTCCGGAATTTCCCCAATTGAAAGATATGAAAGATTTATGCGACGGTGTGGCTTTAGCTGCTTTATTATCGTATTATTGTCCTGATGAGCTTCCTTGGACTGCAATAAAAGTGTCTCGACTGCCCACAATATCGGAAAGTCTTCATAATTTAAGTCTGGTTCAAGATTTTTGTAATAGGTGTTTGCAAAGTTCGGTGTTTTATATGCTGCCAGAAGATATTACATATATGAGAGGGTATATTTTTTTATATCCTGTGAGAATCCACTAAGTATTTCAAAAGGACAAGGTGGCTCATTTTAAGGACCAATATACCGTTCTAACGCAACCTGTTGGTTGGATGTAGAGCGTCTCCGCGTTATTACTGCTGTTGCATACTCTAATAAGCTAATTTAAAATTGTAAATATGTAGTATTCAGTAACGGAGCGATTAAATTTAATTGTCTGCAATTATCACAAGGTTATCAATGATTAGAATATTATTATATTACATTCTATAGATTTTTTGTAGTAAAAACGGTTTAGTTATTTTTGAGTAAATTAAATCAAGTTAAAATTTGTATGAAAAGTTCCCTAAATAAATAGATCTTGTCCAATTGATACACTTAGTGGACTTATTTCTGTATTGATAAATATTGATTTATATTTTTGATTTTAGGTCAATGAAAACCACCCTAGTAGCCTTTTTAGCGGATCTCTTTAACGTTTTAGAAATACATCCAATTAAATGTGTAAGATATCCAGGATCTGAAAAAATGTCAATGGGTAAGAAATTATAATTTAACCACCTTATAATGAATATAATAGTTATTAATTTGCTATAATACCCCTTTTTTATGTTAATTTGCTAATTTCTGTGCTTAGTAAAAATTTCTTTTAGCTTTTTATCTCTTTACCTCTATTTTTGTTTTTTTTTGTTTGAATAATTTTGAAAATAATTACCACATTTTTATAAGAAAATTAAACACTTTTTCGGTGGTGGTCAAATAAAACTTTTATAACATAAAAACGCTTATTAGCTTAGTTGTTTAGCTTACAAATTGTAATTTATGTTTATTGATTTATTAAGATTTGTTTAAACACGTTTTTTTTTATTTAATTCTTTTATTAATTTAATTTAATTTCAATTAAGTTAGGAAAAAAAAAGATTTCAATGTTTTAGAATTATTTAAGTAGGTAAAAAAAATTCAACAATAGTTTTTTCTTAAGTCACTAAAAAACATGTTGTGATATCTTGGTTATTTGTATAATATTGTGTATGTAGAGAGCTTTCCGCCGCGCAACGCACACGGCGTTGTGCACAAGCGCAATTTGACGCAATCCGTGATGAGTCCCATTCCGGACCTGCGCAGCAATCTTGATGATCCCGCAGTGCAGGCTTTCCAAGGTAAAAACCGCAAAATCAAAAAAGGGCAGAATCAAGACACATTTAAGATTTTTTTTTGTTTACGTTATTTTTTCATAGTGTTTGTCATCGTCTTGTGGTTTTTATTTCAAACATTTTATATTTATTTTCTTTATTTGAGCATTTCATTCGATGCATTATTTATTTTTAGTTTCGTTTTGTTTTGTAGGTAGCACTTTTTGGTCCCGTTTCGTTTTTATGTCAGTTATAGTTTTTGTTGCGTTTTATTTTAAATCGATTTAATTTAAATCGATTGTGAATTTGAAGCTAAATAATAAAAGATTTTTGGAAACTAACAAATAATTACGTAGATTAATTCGTAATTTGGTGCTTGGGCTTTGTTTTATTCTTTTAAAATGTAGATAGAAAATTAAAAAGAAATCTAATCGAAAATGTCTGACTGAAAATTAATATTATTGTTATTCTCCCTAATCAAGCGTAGTATTAGAAATAAATCTACAATTTTCTGTCAATCATTTTCGATTTTTTTGTATTATATTGTCCAAATTAATCTTTAATAACATAAAAGTTTTTTCGCTTTAAAGTCGAGATGAATCATCTGCTTGTTTTTTTATGCTTTAACAATTTATAGGTTCATAAAATTTTATCCATGTAAATAATTTGATATTTATGCATGCTCAAAGCAACTTTTTCTCGCTTTCGTTATCTACAATTTTTATTATCACCAGCAACGCTAAATTAGTCACCATTCAATCGAAATTGTTTATATTTAGATCTAGACCGATAAAAATTCCATATCAGATACGGTAAAAATCCAAAACTTAAAAGTGCTTTGAACATTTAAACATCAAATTATTGATTTACTAATAATACCTACATTGTTAAAAACACTCAAAATTAATCAAAAAATATTTTCTATTAACTAAAATTCAATTAAAACCGATAATTTTTAGTGTCTCGATCAACGCCAACACACACACCATTAAAGAAAACGAATTCGTTTCAACTTAGTATGTCCGAAATGAGCGAAGACAGTCTTCGAAGGCCGTCTTCTGAAGATTCTTCGTTTGTAGTTCATCGTGGCAAAAACATACCAACTTTAAGTTCTATATTGGGAGTGAAAGAAAAGCAAAATAATGATAGCAAAGCCGATGAACGTGGAGAATCTAAAGCCGCCGGAAAACCGAGTAATTGGGAAGAAAATAAACGACCGACTTTCGCAGGAAGAAGATCTAGAAGGAATTCAACTTCGGATGATTCTCAATTGACGATTGAAAATTTCGGTGGTAGTCAAGATAATTTAAATTTTATCGGTCGAAATCCAGATAAAGAAGTGGGAGCACATGTAGGTAGAAAAATTTCGACTCCTTCAATAGAAAAAATGGAAAGAATCGAAAATCCTGCTGTTAGATCATCGCTTCAAGATGCTCGAGGCTCTTTTCAATTAGGTTACGATAATGGCTGTGAAAAATCAGAATATGAAAAAGAAAGCTTTAAACTCAAAAAACAACTTAGCAGTGATGATATTTCATTACGAAACCTAACATTAAAAGAAAAAGAAAATCAGCAACTAATTACTGAAACGGAAGTTGTTGATGGCGATACAACAAGGATGAGTTTTGCTGATTTAAAATTAGGCGGAAATTCCCCTAAAGGTATTCAATTAACGTACATTCACGGTGAGAAAGATGACGAACAGCAGAAGAAATTATTATCGAAATCTAGTTTTTTAAATAAATCGAATTCAACTACAAACGGTGGTGAACAACAAAAAAAAACTTGTTTCGCTACGTTACCAAATACAACCACGTGGCAACAACAATCGAATAATAATATGTTGCAAGCTAACCAAAGCCATAATAATAATAATCAAAGTGTGGAAAATAACGTTGATGATCATTCGAATATGGGTCCGGTTATGGCGGCTCAATTAACCGACATTAAAATGAAATTGGAAGAAAAACGAAGACAAATTGAAACGGAAAAACGAAAAATGGAAATTGTCATGGACAAACAAAGACAAAAAGTTGGAAAAGCTGCGTTTTTGCAAGCTGTGGTCAAGGTAAGAATTTAAAAAAAACTTCTTTTTTACAAAGACACAAACCTTGACTTTATGTACAATTTGTAATAATAATATCTATTAGCTAACGGAATTGGTAAGGTGGAGTTGCGTTGTTTACAAAATTTGTCACTTTATTTTTTTATGTTATTTTTTATTGTTGTTTGGGGAAAATTCCCCTCATTTTGGGAATTGTTAGTGTGTAGAGGGCTTTTATATATTTATTTTGATTATTTTGTTTAAAGGCATGGCTTGGTTTTTTTATAAAAAAAAAACAATATCCAAGCTAAACACTTAGGAGTTCGATTTTGACGTTGCGTTTCAAAGAGTAGAATCAAGATTTTTAATTTAGGTCATATTGACAGATTAATTTGACGTTTCTTCTATCAATTTCTTGTTCTGAAAGGGGAACTGTCAAATTGTATCTTAAGATTCATAATAACTATTGAGCATGATTTCCACCACCAAATCGATTTTCGTTCTTGTTGTTGATTTTTTTTTAAATCAACTTATTTTTTTATGTAAATTTTCTGGTGTTGGTCACGGTATCAAGTTGGAAAAAACTAACTTTCAGGGTAAAAGTAACGTAGTTAAGCCCCACAATGACATAATGGCCGACAGTTTGGTGGCCGGAAGCGGAGGCGGTGGTTCCGAACCTGCGAGCCCCGCTCCTGAACACACCACCACCACCGTTCCCAAACCTCAGCGGCCCTTCACCCTCCAGGTATACACAAAAAGAAATTAAAAAAAATATTAATAACAAATACACCAATTTATACAGCTTTCGATTTTGTTTTGCTTTTAATATTTTTTGTTTTTGCTTTATTTTTTATGTTGTATGTTTTTGCTTTCTTATTATTAATACTTTGTGGTGTTTTGAGTTATAAATTAAAAATACTTTTAGGAGATTAACGATGACGCATCTGCTACGGAAAGAAAATGGTTGGAAAGGAATGAACCATTTGTTGAAACGCGTCGAACCCCTGATATCGAAAATATGGATCTGGAACAATATCAGCAATCGATGGCACAGTAAGATTATGAAATAACCTTTATATTGAGAATTAAATCGCTTAAAAAATTTTTTTTTAGAATGAATACTAGTCTTCAGGATATACAAGCTGATATACAAAGATTGGCAAATCAGCATCAACAGATTCAAGCAGCTCAAGACCACCAAAAACAACCGATGTATCCACAAGGTTTTATGACGGTGACTCATCATCATCATCATCCTCAGTATTCTTCCCAACAATCATATCATCAACCGCAACAGTATCAACCATCGATATACGCCCCACTGCAAACCTCTGCAAGCGCCCCACATATACCTCAAACTCTTTATCAATCGAATCAGTCTCAATTTTTCTTGCATCAATCGAATCAACAACAACAACAAGCGCCTATGATTCCTCAAAGACGTACTTGGGCTCAACAACCTCTTCCTGTTAATCTTGAATCGTTTGGCGGTGGTGGGGGTCAAGCGAATGAAATGCGAACTTGGGGTAAACCACAAAATCCGGCTTCGTTTATTTTACATGAACAAACGGAAAGATACCAAGATAAGTATCAAGAAAAATACCAAGAAAAGGAACGTTACCAAGAATTCGGAGGATTGCAAAGATACCAAAACGGCTCGGGAAGTGATCATAACCTTAACAGTCATCATCAAGGTTTCTCTTTAAGTCAACAACACCAACAGAGCCAACTTTACGGAACTCCATCTGCTTCGCCACAACATAAAAACATTCATCGACAAATTTCGCAATTAATGGAACCGGTTCGCAAAAGTAGTGTTACTCACGCTCCGATTCCAGCGCCACCTGTTGATGATATGGCGCCCCAAAATATATCGTTTATTGGAAATCCAGATGAAGAAATCAGTGAGGGTATTAGCCGTTTGAATATCACTTCTGGCAGTAGAACTTATAGGATTCCCTCGCCGACGAGACCGTTAATTTCGAAAAATTCGTTTCAACCGTCCCCATCACCACCAGTTGTCGAAAAATCAACCCCATCAAAAACCGAAGTTAGTAGTTTGAATAACGACCCGGTAAATCAGAAAGGATTTTACATTAGTTTTGACAATGAACAACCGAAACGTCCGAAACCGCCGCTTAGAACTAAGAGAATGTCGCCGAAAAAAGAAAGGAGTTATATCGAGGATGATCAAAATTATGAAACCCCTCCGCCACTGGTAAAAATAAATTATTACACTTTATATCTTATTTATATAAATTTTAAATTTAGGAAAAATCTGAAAGAACGAAACAATTAGAAAGGGAATTAGAACAAGAACGTTTAAAGACAAAATTGGAGGAAGAATTTAGGGCGAAAGAACATAGCGCCAGATATCGAATGGAAGAAAATATTGTTAGGAAAACAAGAGAAACTAGTCAAGAACGTGCTGAAAAGGCAGAAGCGATTATAATAGGAAATGAATTGAGTAATCCGGATCCAGTAATAATATAAATTAAATTAGGATTAATTATTAATTTAACTTAATTAATTAATTTTTAGGAATTAATGGATGAGAAAGAACGAAAAAAAGAACGAATAATGTTGCTATCTTTACAACGACGTCAACAACAAGAGGAAGTAAAACAAATCAAGGAACAAGAAGCGCAAGCGAGAAGGGAAAAGGAAAAAATGAAGGAGGAAGAAAAAGCCAGGAAAAAAGAGGAACAAGCCCAAAGAAGAGCTGCCATATTTGAACAGTATAAAATTAAAAAAGCAATTGAAGAAGCCGAAAGAGAAGTGTGTAATTCTTCTTTTTTTTTTTAATAAGTTTTAATTTTATTAAATATTTCTTGCAAAGGGTAAAGATGTTGATAAGGGCTTGTTACATTCACTGAAGCCAACACCCAAGGTAAGGGCGAAGGGGGCGGTGAGGCCTCGACCGAAAACTATTCATATCGATAGTGGATCTGTTGAGATGGCTGAAGGGATGTTGCAACCAAGTAGAGCCAAAAGGGGATCTAATACCAACCTAACAGGTAACTTTATACAAATTTAATTAATTGAACAAGCAAAATCCTGAATACCCTGCAAAACTTAGTTGTTTATTTTATTTATTTTGTTTTAATTTATTTTTTTAATTTTTTTATAGCTGTTAATTATAACCCAGCTACAATGAAACGCGATTATTACAAAGGTTCCCAAGATAGTTTAGCCAACACCACTTTACTTTATAGCACTAATAGAGGTTTGTTTTTGTTTTATATGAACCCTTATCGAAATCAATGTTTAGTATGTATTCCATATGTATTTTTTTATTTATTAGTGGAGATTTTAATAATAAAATTATAATTTAATTCAGTGAGGCCCATATAAATGCAGTGTAAGGCGGTTATAACCGCTGAATTTCTTATAATTTTTGTAATGCAGACAGCGTTTACAATCTCTTTCTTCTTTATCTGAGAAATTGGTTACATGTGCCAGCATGAGTCTAATTACAGTTGTGTAGATTCATATTGTAACTATCGGATGGTGTCTCCGATATTTTTGGCGCAAAGGAGGAAAAAACATTGTGCGTAAATGCTGCCCTACTGTTGGCGCTTAGGGATATCGTGATGATATCTACTTCAACCGATTAACCTGGGACTAACAGTTTACTACTTACAAGGGAAGTATCAGAACTGTCTCTCACCGATTTTGTTGAAATTTGGTACAGCGATAGTATGGCCAAAAATAAGTTTTACGTATTTTTTTATACGTGCTAATAAAGCCCCTGGGGCGAGTTATAAGGGTTGGA